TTCAGTTGGCATAGGAGAGAACGAAATCGGTTAAACGTATTAAGTCAAAAATTACCTCGACAGTCGAAAAGACGACTCAAGTATTTTGCGGTAAGGGTGTTCTTCTCTCCAAAGTGTTAGCTTCTAAGGCAGAACTGAGTCTACAATGCGGGGACGCTTCCATCTGCGATTATTCGCTCGTAGTAGAGTGGATTGCAAAAAGTGACTTCAGACACGACAGCATCAAGGCCATCAACTTGATCCCTCCGCTGAACCTGATTTCTTCGTTGCCCTATCTTTGCTGCTTCATGGAGCACAATTCCAAACAGAAGCAAGGTAATTTGAATGTTGTCTGGCGGAAATCTTATCTCTATACTTTAATGGTTATTACCTTTTTTTTAAAGAAAAAGGCATGTCTTTTTGATAAAGGCACCTTTTTAGGTGAAGATTAAACCTCTTAGCTCCCAAAAACTAACTAGGAGCATCTGCCCTTTCACGTTGTTTTCTTTTATGCGTAAGTTGGTGCCGCTTCTCATAGCCAGCAAAAAAATGTTGCAAACTCGTAGTTTCACCTTTCACATCCTATGCGGACTGCCAAGCCAATTAAAATTGCAGTTTTTGATTCGAGTTCGGTACAGAATGCAAAACCATGATTTAGATTGTTTTGTGACCTGTAATTTGTCACTGCAGTAAGTGACAACCATGGACTAAAAAGTGAGCCTTATTGTTAATAAAAAATCACAATACTAAACGCAGCTTTTAGTCCCCATTTTCAAACATGCCGAATTCACCAAGACGTAGCCGAACCCAACTGTTGCGCCACTTGAACTACCATCTTAACCACGAAATAATGATAGGTGAAGTAAGAATCTGGCACCGACAATTTGGCAAGGAAAAACGATGTTGTGAGTTCAAGGGCTCAAATTTATTAAAATTCAAGGCATTAACAATATGGCATTAGCTGCAAATGTTGGTTTTCGTAGGTGGAAATGGAATGGCAGAATGTACAGCAGATTAGAGAAAGTCTCATCTTACGCAGCATGGCGTGGGGATTTGTAGAGATAAATCTTCAAGTCCCCCTTGCGACACTGCATCCACTTTTCTTGAGTACCATAGCTGAAAAAGAAAGGAGTTTGGTGAAAAAAGAGAAAGGGGTTGTAAAAGATACACATGAGTGTCCTCTCACCCGACAAAATTTCGGCCCACTATGCAATGATGAGGTCCACCATAAAGGTGATCAGCGGACTCTTTTATGTGTTGAGCGATTCTTAATTTGTCTTTGTAAATGGAAAGGGCCTCAATCACAATGTCCTTGATTCCCATATCGAAATCATTCAACTTCCAGTCAAGCCGATCGGAGTTGCTCATCCTAATAGTAGTGTATTACTGCGACGACCGGCGTGGTTCTGAGTGTTGAGTATCGGTAGCTCCAACTCGTTTGTATACTCTTGAGCCAACCAAATCTCTGCTCCAATTGTCACTCTGAGTTCACCTCTTTTGGTGCACGAGCGCGCACCTGCACGAGTTGCGTGCAAGTGTGCGCTGATGTGCAAAGGTGGGTCCCCTCCAAAGGATGTGACTCAGGCAAATTCATAGCTCACCGAAGTTGAGGTGTTATGCAGCGCCTACTTCAAGACATTACGTAAAATTAAGTAGTAACACAAATCTTTTTAATTAACTTCGATGTAAAGAGGAGTGGCATTTAATCCACCTTGGCATAAGGTCTTGTAAAGAGCGCCTTCCATTCTAGCTTAGCGAACTTTTGACCCTCCTTCAGTGACTTTAATTTAAATGACTGACATGATGTCGCGATTATTCCTTACATTGCCTCAACAAGTTAAATCCTCCGGTTCAACTAGTGGACTAATAACTTGCAAAAGCACGCTAAACCTCATTATTACTAGTAGGGCTTGGTAGTTATTCGGTTTCAAAGAACTTAACTCTCCTAAAAGCAGTGGTTGCCTCCACCTCAAGAAAACATACAAATTATTTAAGATTCCATCTCATAACCACAGCACTCCACAAAATTCCTTCAGTGCAAAATGTATCACCTTGCTTGGCTATGAGAAATGTCCAACCACAGTACCCAATTGATAAAAGAAAGTTAGTATTGGAAAAAAAGGGTTACGGCAATTAAGGTAAATTTGACAATGACCTCGCAAAAATAAAGCGCAAACAGTAAGATCAAAGCTGCTCCCTAAACGATTCAGCGATCCGCTTCACTGCTTCACAAACTCGTAGCTTTGTTTCCATTAATTTAATTCTGTGTTCACTGGTTTGGGTGGATCAAAGTCTCGCTTTTGCAATCTGAAAATCAGGCCATAGCGAATGACCTCTCTCCTAAGGGAAACACCTCGTGGATCATGGAAAGAACCAATGAAGCCACATATCAAAGTTACTGTCAACTTTCCGTATGGCTTGGTAGAGGTGACTTTGAGGTTCACAAAAAGAGGAGGTTAATTACTGCTGCGTTTCTCTTTCTTTAGCTTTAATTATTATTAAAATACTTACCAGATTTTGGTAATCTAGTCTTTAACAACTATGATATACGTAATTAATTCCGTGAGAAGATTGAATAATGGTACTCGGTAGTGCTATGCGATAGGAAGGCAAAAACGCTTTTACCTCTTCCTTTTTTCGTTTTTTCCTCTAACTCGTAACAAAAAGAAAAGATGTGCATTTTTTATGCAAGGAGAATGCAGATCACCTGACCAGAACAAACCTTCCAACTGACGCATTAAATTTAGCTGGCATTGATATCATCTACTCGAAATAAAATGTTTTGTTTGAGAAAAAGGGAAATTAATGACTTTGAGAATGTTAGCTCCTATAAGCTCTACGAAAGTGCAGGGACCAAAACTATTGTACCAACAAGCTTGAGTAAGAAATTTAGACCTCACCGTAGGACGCTACCTGATGAGGACTTGGTGGGTGAGACAAGCATGCAACAGCGAGTCAAGGGATGACTTGAGTGTCAAAGTTTGCTACCAGTACCGAGCTATCAATCTGTTAAACTGTGAAATGCTGGAACCAGTGAGGTTCACATTCCATCGACTGATTTCGCACATATGCGTGCACGAGAGTCCCCAAAATTCACGACTAATTTTGTTGGCAATTAGGTTAGTGGTAATTAAATTTAAGTCAATTAGGAGGGTCACCGAATATAATGAACATCTCAACTTCAGACGCGAGGGGCAGTAGCCCAATGGCAAATGACTTGGCAAAGAGGTAGTTATTAGTTTTTTTCCTTCTGACAAAGGTCTACGGCATCCCTACGATACCTGATTGAATGTAAATGTGTGTTGGCGTGTGGCAGCCAAATAGCTTCCAATGCGGAGGATATCGGTCGCCAGTACTACCAGATACTATAATTATATTTAAATCCTCAAAGAGGAATCGGTGTTAAAAAACTATAAATGTGGGATAAAATTTAACTCTGCTTGTAGCGAAACTGTACAACTTTACGACTAAAACAATCTGGAGAATTCCCAGACTTTAGAAAGCAAATAAAACCCAGTCAATGTTAAAAGCTACTGACTTTGCGATATTGAGGGTGGGAAATGGATGGTTGTCCCAGAGCTTCTCACCATTAAAAATAGCAGCGAAATTTAAGATGGAATTTGTTAAGGGAAAGTGGTTAATGATTGCTTTTTACTCAATCTGGCATCTTGAAGCGGTTCATCTATAAAAGAAGTGATAGGCTTCACTTCTTATGCCAGTTTTAGCTTACTGCCTAAGCTTAGGATGATGCAAACTGACTTTGCAAACAATATGGTTTAGAATGCTTCTTTCAACACACATTGTGCGACACGAGCTCGTGAAAATCATTTCAGTAAAATAAGTCAAGTATAAGCTTTTTAATCCAATAATCGAAACGTGACTCAATTCTCATAGAGCACCCTGATTTATTCGACGTGAACACGAATTCTACGTGCTTCTAACTGCAGCAAAATTGGGGCGGTAATTTAAAGTACTTGAGGAAATGGACCAGCAAGTACCGGATTTACATTTGAAATAGCATAGTAGGTACAATATTGGAGCGGAGTTAGTTATGAAACCTCAGTCTCTGCGTATTAAAGGCGTTTTCTATTAACACACGATTACAAATAGGTGTGGTTATCAGGTCTAAACTTTGCTACTGAAGCATTATGAGTAGAGCGTTGTTAGAATGAATGTTTAGAACAGATGAGTTCTAGCACTTTCGTAAGCTAACTAAATTCCAACGCAGAGTTGACATTCTAAAAGTAATAATATGTAATATCAATAAACATTCCTCCTCGCTGTGAAGCCTACATATGTGTGGACGCAATTTTCGCTAACATACCTACTAAGTGGTTCTAAACAAATTATTTATGACAAGCTTAGTACAGATAACGCCAAATTAAGGATGATATATCAAAATGTGATTGGTATATGTTTGCATAGAATTAGACCAAACGAAACCGAACCTAAGCGATTCACCCCATCCCAGCATTAGTATCCCAACACTGCTCAATCAAGATGTCACCAGATGCATTTACGGCTCATGAGCACAAAATGCACCCTGGAGAGAATGGAAAACATCCCTTCGAGTAGCTCCTACTTCTTAACGAAACCAATGTTTCAACTTCATCTCACTGGTTCCCACAGATTACCTCACATCTATTCATTTGTTAGCGGGAAAGAAAGCAAG